GGATCCTATTGCGTGACTGCATTCTATAAAATTCCAATGTACGACGATTGAAAAGCCAACGATGAGCGAACTCACGTGGAAGTATCAACAAGCGAGTGTCCTATCCCACGGAGTCGTCGTTGTTGTCGTTGCACCACTTTCCATCTGATGACGAAACATCCAGCTGTTCACATGCGTGGATCTAGGTGGATAACGCGGAATGAATATCACGGCATTGACGTTTATCGCATTGACAGATTAAAATTATGTACCTGAGCGCAATGTGTAATTAATAGCAGACGTAGCGATGTTAAATCACCAGCCATCGCACACCATCCAACTCGAAGAAACGACTGAGCTCGAATGTGACTGAATGAGCGACGCTGCGCGCCATTGGCTCGAGAGGGCGCCACTATTGGTGAGTGGCGCGCCTTTTTTCTGCTTCGGTGTGAAGTTGGCCGCGCGATTTACGGATTTTCTTCTTCGCCATATTGTTCGTAAGACGCAAGTAGATCGTGCGCGATCGCTTTTCCAGCGTTATTTTTTTGTAGCGACATAATAGAACCGTGCAGAGTGAATGTAATTAAGCGTATTCGCGAGTAAATATTGTACCTGTACTTTGTGAAGAAATAGCAATAGGCGGAACGGCAAGCCATGTGGAGGCGAGAAGACATAGAACGACACGTTGACAGCGAAAAATATCATGGGATAATTATTAAGGTGCCATTTCATGCGTAATGTAAGCGCAACAATTTGCTATTTGATTAAAGTTTGATGCACTTCTAGCGCAAAATACTTTTTTATCGCATCTCATTTTGTTGTTTTCAAGTCGAACCAAGCAAACAAGTAACAAATCCGGCATTTTGTCTTCTTAAATTTTATAAATTATATTTTTGAATTCAGAAGTGCTTTTGGCGTATATTTTTCATAAATTGCTTATATAAATGAGTCAATTAACCGTACAATAATGATTATAAAACAATTAATTACGACTATTTCTTGTTATTAACATTGTTCAATTATATAACTGGCAAAAAATATTTCATATAAAATTATATATAATTATGTATAAAATATGTCCATATACGTAACATTTTTTCCCGGGTACTTGTTTAAGAAACGAATAATAACGTTAAAATACGTGCAACAGTTATTTTTTAAATAATAATTACAATATTTTGAATATATACTTTAATTTGGATACTTTTGTATGTTACAGATCAAGTTGCAATTCCACTGCTGTGTATCTCTCTTACGGTGAGTGTTAGAATACGTTTTTCAATCTTTTGCGCACGCTCAACAGTAGTATACAAATATAAAGATATACTCGTATATGTATAACTTTATATTTGTAGTAAATAAATAAGAATTTAAGCCAAATTTTTTTTATTATTATTATATTATTACTATATTATTTACTTATTGATGTTTATCTTGTATTACTTAATAATAATTAATTTGTTAGATTATGGTTTTATACTTTTTTTATAAATAATATACTTCTACAAATTGTGACGATTTGATACTATAAGAGTGATTTTTCTTTTATGAGACAAAGGAAAGGTTACTATATTTTTGAAAGATATACAACTCAGAATTCTTTACAATAAGAACCTTAGCAATAAGAAACTTCATCAGAAAGTGTGACTTTATAAAAAAAAAATGAATAATTTCTTTATTAATTTATGCACACAAATATATGAAAAAGTATATAGTTTGTTAAAATGTTTAATTTATTAAAAATTTTTTATCTGTTTTTATTTATAACACATACATTTACACACACAAAAGGTATTTTTAATCAATTGAATATTTCTAAAAAAAAAGTAATTTTTTGTTTCTGAAATTTGTTTTATTTTCCTATACAGCATAGAATTTGCAGCAATATCGCTGCAAAATCTCTGCGATATTGCTGTAACATGCAATGTTGCTGTAATGTTATAGCAGTTACTGCAACTTTTGTGCAACTTTGTGCTGCATGGGTAATTGTTAAGAGTTAAAAATCCTATTTAAAGAAACTAATAATTTAAAAGCGAAAGTTTTGATAGATAAATGTTTTTCGTATTGACGCCGACGAGATACTATTAAAGATCGATATCCTTACGGGAGTTCGCGTATCCTTGTGAATATTGAAGTAATCAAATGTTAAAAACTGATAATATTGTACTAATTTTATGATTTATTAGTTTAGTAGACGTATTTATGCATTTAGAATTCAATAATACTTTGACAATATGTTCTACTAGCAAAAATAAGAAAAAGATATTATATAAAAGATATTATATAAAAAGATATTATATAAACATAAGTCTTTATATTAAATGTTATATTAAAAAGTTACGACAAAAATATATTAAATATGTAAAAAACAATGTTACATCCATATTAAAGTTTGCATCCATATTATAATACAAACTTGACGTCGATATAATTTTGAATTTATCATCTTTTGTTGCGAGGATAGAAAAAATCTTTATACAAAAATTTCTTCTATTCTCATAACAAAAGATGATAAATTCAAAATTTATTGATGTCAAGCTCGTTTTAACATGGACAAACAGCAATTTGAAATGCAAATTTTGATAACATTGTTTTTTTACACGTTTAATATTTTTGTTCTAATTTTTTAATATAGCATTTAAATTATTATTAAACTATATAAATGTTGTAATAATAATAGCACTTAAAGCCTTATATTTATATATATTGTGTATAATACATTTTTTTTATTTTTGCTGGTAAAAATCTAGAAACACTCTGTATGTATTTACAAATGCATTTGTCTCGAAACATTCTGAATATATTTAGCTTTAGATTCGAAGACTTACAATGCTGAGCTAAATTAACGCTTTTTCCAACTTTATTCACATTGCTTTTAATGCTTTTTTTAATTTCAATTTAAACTATTTCGCAATCGGTGAATTGCACAAATTAATTGCAGATAAAATTAGAATATTGCCTTTCAGTAATTGATTTTATTTATTGGATGGTAATTGTATGGCTTTGAACGAAAGAGAATTTAACTGTGAGAAGGGGTATTCGCTTTTATAAAAGAAGGATTTTATTATTATTAAAAAAATTTATATTTCTTTTGAAAGGTGATTCATTTCTCATCAAATCTTACGGTGAAAAATTGTCTTTAAACTTAACATAAAATTTTTTGAAAATGTATACCATTCCTTTGCGTATACATATTTTTTATAGAATAATATTTTTCCAAGAAAATATAATATTATGCAATGAAATGAAAGTAGCATAAAATAGAAATAAACGTTTATGTTTTATATTACAATTTTATTTCATATACAAAGAAGACATACACATACATTTGCGCGTAATTCCTCAAGATTCTCTTTGCGTTCGCTTTTGACCTCATTTGAAGTAAAGATAAATACTATGTTTGTGTATAAGAAAATTTCAATTTGACAGTAAGACAAATATATAGTCTCTTAACAAATGTCCAGAATTTATAAAAGGGTAAATAAAAAAATATTGTATTAGGTGTTGGAATTAATTCGTAGCGTTTTACAAAGTATTTATAAGTTTTAAAAGTACTTTCATTAATGTATTTTTTAATGCTCATGTGAAATAAATAACATTCTTTCATTAAAAACGCTACGAATTAATTCCAACACCTAATATGAATAAAAAATACTTTAAAATTCTAATTCATAAATTATATTTAGTTTTATGTTTTATCAGATAATATTTGACTTTTTTTTAAGTTAAACTTTATTATAATTAAATAAATCAGTGTATTGTTCATCCTGTATAAAATATTTTATATTTCAATATCTTACTTTTTAGTTATGTTATGAAGAATTAAATACCTTTAGATTTAAATACCTTTTTTTCTAAGATAGTAAATTTTTCGCTCATAACGATGAGGTCATATAAAGTTTTTAGTTTGCTGTATCGATACACATACACAAACTATATACTATAAACTTATTTAAAATAATTTTTTTTTAAATGCACTTTTTTTCGATGATATTTGAGATTTTTCGGTGATATTCGAGATATTTGAAATGGGCAATTAAAATGAGACATTCTGTGTGTATATATATACATATATTATATTTATGTATATATGTATAAATGTACATATACATTTAGTGGATCTATAAATACGATAAATTACACTGTATCAATAGTCGTAAACTAGAAATGGTAAGTATATATAACTTTATCGTAGGCGAAAAATTTACCATCATAAAAAAACTTTATATAATTAAATCTTTCATAATATGTTTAAAAAGTAAGATATTAAAATTAAATAGATATTTTTATAAAAGATGAAAAAAATACATTTATAATTTATGATCAGAATTTCAAAATAATCTTTTTTTATAAAAAAAATGTCGCAAATTTCGCAAAAAGCTATTCTTTTGTATTAAATCATTTATTTCGAAATTTTGTGACATCGTTGTCGATATTTAAAAATCTATAAGAAATACCTTACTTCTTTTAGAGTAATTAAAAAAAATTTTTTTTTGTAAACTAGTGTTATTTACATTTCCCTAAAAATATGTCACATTAAAAATAAAAGTTATTTTTACAAAAATTTATAAAAAAAGAAAAATTAGAATTTATTATATAATCTTTGAATTAGAAATATGTTTTTTTTTAAACTTTATCGTTTATCATAATTATTAATATCATACTTGAAGAATAACAATTAGAATAAACGAGCATGCACTTATGCCAACAATGCACAGCTGTCTACATGATAACATTAATCGCTTTGCATATTGATATTGTTATGTTCAATATTTGCCGATAAATATCGAACGGATGAGACATACTGTACAATACAATATAAACGTAGATTATAATGGAACAAGGTATCATGCGTTGAAATGCAAACGAGAGAACGTTTACAGTTTTTTTACAAAGTGCATATTGAATTTTTTATATTTTATATTTATATGAAATTCTTTTCCACAAAAAAATTTAAAATCACGAATCTCACGATTTGAATGAGGTTTAAGCTGTAGCTTAAGTCACATCAGCTTGTTGGAGTATGACAAAATAAATTGGAGTAACCCAGATTACGGCAGAATTCGCAATGGAGTATATCGGAATACGTCAGAGTTGCAGAAGATTCAGTTCACGTGATTGAGATAGATCGCAGTTAGCCAGGATAGGCTGGAGGTAAGCGCACCCTAGAGGAGGCCTGATCATGACACGTAGCCTCTTCCGAGGGCGAGAATCGAATAGTGACTCCTGGGGGGTGCGCGCGCGTTGTCGCGCGATATCGGTGGCTGCGCGTTGATACGACGCGCGGTCTCGCTGCGCCGACAGAGCAGCATTACGGTCGCGTTACTCTCGCGACACGGAAGACCGAGTGGAGAATACATCCTGATATTCTTGACGCGCGCGCCAACCATCTAGGCGAGGAAGCGCGCAGCCGAGAGATCCGAGCGAGCGTCAAGCTCGATCTTCGTCCTCGCATCGACGTGGCACAGTCTGTCGCTTCTTGCCGTTATCATCACTTCTGCTGCGAGCAGCCAGAATTAATTCGTGAACGAATTGAATAATATCGGAGGGAGACGAGAATCTGTCCGGCTTTTCAGCAAGCATCATCGAAAGTGTCATCACGTGTGAATACGAGCTGGTTCTGGAAGCAATCTGTTCCACGTCATCAATCAAAATTCTGAAGAGCAATCTTCTTCCGTGATAACGTGTCACGATCGACTCTGAGATTTCCTAGGTCGTCGACCTGTGGTCTTCCTGCCTCTCGTCCTGCGCGAGTGTCGCGTAGCGTTTCACCGGGCAAAGTGTAGTTCTGTGTCGTGATTCTTTATCATCTTTAATCCCCCCGAGAATATCTCAGGTGTGAGTCTTCCGTTTGTGATCATTCTATCGGCGTCGATAAGTCACTTTATTGGTCCACGCGACCAGCTGCTACCGTCTTTCTCTCTCTCTCATTGTCTCTCTCTCTCTCTCTCTCTTTCTCTCTCTTACGTCACTCCAATCGCAGCATGGGGGACCAGGAGCAACAGGAAACGATGCCAAGCGTGGTAGAGTTGAACGTGGGCGGCGTCTTCTACACCACTGCTTTGACTACACTGACTCGCGAGAGCGATTCGCACCTGGCGGCACTCTTCACTGGCAAATTCACCGTGGAAAAAGACGCCAAAGGCAAATATTTTCTGGATCGCGACGGCGTACTCTTCCGTTATGTATTGGACTTTTTGCGCAATCAGGCACTCGTTTTACCCGAGGGCTTTCGTGAACGTGAGAGACTCAAACAGGAGGCGAATTTCTATGGTCTACCTGGTTTAGAGAAGGCAATTTTGGAGAATACAGATTCCGGCGGACAAATTGGCAGCGCAATTAGCAAACGCGCACCAGGATACATCACCATCGGCTATCGGGGCAGCTTTGCCTTTGGCCGCGAGGGTCTGGCCGACGTCAAGTTTCGCAAGCTCTCGAGGATCCTCGTGTGCGGCCGCGTGGCGCTCTGCCGGGACGTTTTTGGCGAAACGTTGAACGAAAGTCGCGATCCTGATCATGGCATGTCCGATCGCTACACATCACGCTTTTTCCTGAAACACAGCGTCATCGAACAGGCCTTCGACATGCTGCAAGAGCAGGGCTTTAGACTAGCGGGCAGCTGCGGCTCCGGCACCGCCGGGAGCAACTCCGAGCAACTGAAACCTGGAGTGGATTCTGAAGAGAATCGTTGGAATCATTACAATGAGTTTGTCTTCGTGCGCGATTAAAGAGTTTCGCAAGCGAGTACTTTGGCTAAACATCGTTGACGGCTCTTATTTTGCAAAAATACGAGGCTGCGATCGCAGCTGATGCGAAAAAGGACTTCTTCAGTTATTCGAAACAGTTCAGACAGAAGTGGAAACATTTGCGAAAACACGTGTGTCTAACATGCGAGCGAATAACACAATACGGAACTCTCGTTTATAGCATGCTTTATGATATATAATGAAGTTGATATACAATATCAAGTTTAACACAGGAGTTCGTACGAAAGCGTCGGACAATCGTATTTCGTGAAGTTCGTAATTAATTTTGTCTTGTAAGAAAATTTCTCAGTCATTGTTACTATTAATCAACTTTGACAATTAAAAGGAATTTGGAATACTGTGACATTCGAGAATACTAACATCGTCTTCTGAAATATTATCTCTTAAAATGTTTTTCTCACTTTAATCAATTCTTTTATCGAATAAAGAAAAATAGATAAGACATGACGAAGATAGATATCCGAAAACTGTCGTCTTTCGATAGAACCCTCGTTTAAAACATTGACAGCGCTGAAGTAACGAGAAATTGGATTTCTATATTAAAGAGAATTATGAACTTGTCGAACGTGACCATGTCGGGAATCTACGAATTTCGTCGAACTTGAATCAAAATGCAACCTAGAGAATTATGAACGACAAGTTAATGTCGAGCGTCGAACTTAAAATTTAGTCAATGTCGAACATAACAATTTGGGAACATAATGTTGAAATCAAAGATATTTCGTTAATTCATGATCGTATGTTTTTTATGTGTAATTAATTATTCAACTGTAAATGAGTTTGATTCACAATACAAATAGAATCGAAGACTTTTTTGAATACGATGTAAGATCTTCCGTAATTGGAAAACGTACCGACGGCAATAACAAAATTGCCATTTCTGACAAAAATCCGATGTGCTTCTATCCAGGGCTGTTGCGAAAGAGAGACGTTTATTAAAAAGTAGTCTCGCGTAAATCCACGAGATGAAAGACGCCAATATTGGGCGTTTTTTTATTGTCGGAGGATGCGAAGTAAGACGGTGAATGAAATGTGCACAATAAAAACGAATCGGGGCGAAAAAGGTGGATGATGCTGAGATATTTGCGAACGCGACTTGACCACTTAAAAAAGTAACAGTGTCAGATACGTCAGTGATAAATGTTGTTGGATGCAACGATCGAGAAAATGTAAGGAAATATGTAAATGCAAGACGGACATGACGTGGACACAAATATTGGCTGCTATTTAAAATCAGATCGAACGAATGACGCAATAACATTTGCGTGTTTTTGATTCGCGTTTGACGCAAGAGGAAATTAAAGGTGATGAAAAATTTCAATTATATCTGATAACGAGATTATTATTTAAAGAAAGTCTCCGGTGCTAGTACGCCGAGTAGAGTTAATACTGATAAATGGTCGGGCCGAGTAGTCACTGCTAGATGACGGTCAGACCGAGTAGTTACTACTGATCGCTAGGCGGACCAAGTAGTTAGCGGTATGCTAGAATCGGACCTTTTCTTTAAGTAGAAGATATATGATGAAAGGACGGCGGTAAGAATGATGTAGATACTGATATTTAGTGAATTATTGTTTCTGTATAAACTCGGCTTAAATAGGGTAACTATAGCCATCCTCGATGGGCGGAACGGCTTGTCGAATGCGTGTACTTACAACCCGACACGATGTCAGATGTGCTATTCGAAAGACGGAACGCTCGAAAATACGTGTTTTCTTCTAATGACTTTCCGTCAATCTCTTAAATTGATAAAAAACACGTCAATTTTCTTTCTCGACTTAAATTCTTTTCTCTGTAGCAGAACATAAATGTGGCAAGTAATTCATAACTTTCCGTTAACGTGCGGAAATATCGGAACACGATGAAAGCAAAATGTTGTTATAAATTTGCGTTGAACTTAATATCGTAAATCATTCGTGCAAAAATATCTAGATGATCGAGATATTTTTTTCCTTTTTGATGCAATTATATTTTATGGAATATACTTGAAAAAAAATTTTCAGATATTTTTTGAAGGAAGAAAAGTTGTAAATTATAAAGAATTGATCACTTTTGTTAATTTCATATTAATACATTACTTACTATCACTTTTAACTGATATTCCTTTGCTATACTTATGTTGGAAGTTTAAGTTATATAGGCCTTCTAGCTTTTTTATTACCTTGTTATAAAATATAAAATATAAAATAATAGATTTTCAGTTTAGACTTTCTAATTATTTTGCGTTGTGTAAAATATCGTTTATTTATCTACTATTATTAGTAATTAATATTATCAGTAATTTTGTTTGCTTATTCGGAATAATGAAAGAATCGAAAAATTTATCGCGATTATCCTGTCGCAACAGGTTATCATGTAACGGATAATATTTAACGACTGTTCCGAAAAGTGCCGACGGCACTGAACAGACGAAGCAGATATCGAGTTTAGCTTTTCGTTGTTATAGAAAGCGTACAATGTCGAAGATTTTCTTAAAAATAATGGAGATAATAAATCTTGTATCGTAGCAATGTCTCATATATTGTTATTATTATGGATTGTATTTATTATTATGATGATTGATGAATGTGTAGAATCACAATAAACGTAGAGTTATTTCAATTTTAAATGCACGTATTTATCTTTCCTAACTTGTTAGCAGAACCAAAATTATACATATATTCATGAAAAATTTATTGTTACGAAAATTAAGATGAAAATTCGTAATTGGATGCTTAGTCTTTATTTCGATACGCGTTGCGATAATCCGAAAAAACAATTTCGGAGTGATGATGCGAATCGAAGCTGTTATTGTTAGTACATGATTCACTGTTCAATGAACGTCGCTTCTGCGTCTGCAATGAATTGATTTATAATGTTGTTATACGTTCGGATTGTCGTACGAGTTATGCGTGTCAATGTGAGGTGTTATATGTAACAGAGTGGACATGATAGTCCAATGTGAAAATTTAATTTGTTTACATTGTGCGATCTGCCATCGAAATCATTAATTTTTCGCAATTGAGAGACATTTCACAAACTGATGCTGACTGTTAAATTCTTGATACAATGTTCCCTATTAAGAGAAAACGTTATTATTACATAATATAACACATGTGAAACGAGTGAACGACGTTTTCCAAGTTCGTGTTTTGTGAGATATATCAGCTTTCAGATATGATCTGCAATTGATCATAATTCATAATGATGACTATTGTGTTGAGTAATGCGTCATATCTTGTTGGGAGATTCTATTGATTAATGTGGAGCGGTAATGGCATCATAATTGGTACTTGGTTACAATTAGTAAATCGCCTACTTCCATTTACTCTGTACAAATAAAGACATTCAGGTAAATCAAACTTGTAAGATAGTAAACGGATATTGCACGACGTTAATGTAAAAGAGTCTCAGAACTGTAGAACGACTGTAAACTTCAATTTACTTTAACGATACAATACTAATAATGGTACAAATTTAAATCTTTACCAATCATATATACTATTTATTTCTTATATACATATAATATTTGATACTTTTAATATAATTATTTATTGAATATTTTGATTTTGATATTTTTTATTTGATAAGGTCTTATGTTAATTTACAAGTTAAATTATTTGTACAAATAATGTGCAAACATATAAAATTGGGCCCAAATAAATTTTGCATTATTTCATTTCAAATCTTTATGGTTATTAAAATCAACTGATTTTAGATTATCATATGTATTCATCTTTATAATGTCAAATAGAAATGAATTGTATTTTCTGATGCTTGTATTCATTTCTAAGATATTGGAAATGATAAGAATGATTTTCAAATGTAGCAAAAAGGCATGTAAATATTTATATCTTATCACCTAAGTATCGATATATTAAATTTTTAGAAATATTTATATCTTTTTGGTTAATTATATTCAGATTTGGACCAAAAAATGTTTTTTAATTTATGTGTGCATATATTGTATACAATGCACTTTTTTTTGTTGTAAGTTTTAAATATTGTCTTTATATATCCAAGTATATGCAATATTTATTTGTAGTGATATATTATGCGTGCGTAGGATACGATAAAGAATTGAAATTGACGATAATAATGCTGATTAAGATTCGTGACATAAAGGCTCTATTTCGTAGATTAAAAACAATATTATAAATTCCTTGTGAAAGATAGTGAGTCTCGAGTGAATGATAGGATTCATTTTTTTTGTATTCCATTGAATTTTAAAGAATTTGAATTTCATCGCAATGTATCGATCAATAAAATTTTTATTAAATGTTACAACTTTTGATAATTTAAAAATAATTATTTTATTGAATACTCTTTTAAATCAAATTTAAATCTTTGTTTTTGTTTTAGAAAGTTTAGTATTTGATGAAATTCGAATTTCGTAAAATTTGATTAAATTTTAATTTAATTTTTAATCAAATAAGTTCCTTATTATATACGAGCTTCGCCAAACTTCTTTCTTTGATATAAAGTTTCTATTAGTATCACCATTTGAATTTTAATGTTGACATTTCAAATTTTGTTTGTAAAATTTAATAGAAAACATAAGAATAGAGAAATAGTATAGTTAACGATGCAATCGGATAATTTTTCAAATTACAATTATGATACATTATGATATACTAAATTATCTTTACATTGAAAAAAAAATTTGTTCAACTAACTAAACGCATTTAGTTATTTGCTGATTTGATTAATTCAACAAATTTTAATTGAATTTTATTTAATTGAATTTAACCGTAGTCTGGTTAACATTGAATAGTTTGTTAAGCAAACTACAGTTGAATTCGATTAAATAAAATTTGTTGAATTAACCAAATCTGCAAATAACTAAATGTGTTTTTATATATTAATATATATATTAAAAAATATTATTTTTTTATATATATTATTATAATATTTTTTTTATTCAATTAGAACATATAAAATATTTTATATATATTTTATATTATTTAAAATACACACCTCTCTCTCTCTCTCTCCATATTTAATTAAATAAGAGAAAAATTCTCATATTTCTATATTATACTTATATATTTAGTCATACAATTGGATGAAGAAAACCAATTTTTCTGAAGTGCATGCACGGTTTGACATTTTTTAAGAAATAGTCGGACCAGAAATTGCAACGTGCATCGTAGAAATATTTGATTCCCATATTTGAGACTCAGAATTCATTGAAAAGGATTCAACGGGTAGAAACAGAACGGTGTTAGGTAGCGTGTAAGATTGTGACGATATGAAATTATTGTACATGTATATACATATGTCTAAGTAAACAAAGGAGAAATAAAAGATTGAAATGGTACGAGAATGAACCTGATTATGACCTTGTTCCACGTTTTTCATTTTTGATATTTTCGGAAGTCTTTGGATTAAACTCTTTGCTGCTTCTTCTCTTTAGATTCAGGTCAAACAAATATGAGTTATACGTAATATACAAATAAATGTTTGAGAGGTAAATCACGAGAGATGAATTTATAAAGTACAGTCAATAACGTGCGGTAAACAATTATATTTTTAAGTTATTTTTCTAATGCAGTTCGATATTAAATTTTCAAGACATAATTAAAATTTGTGTGATACAATCTGAAATTTATTTTTCTTTAAAGAATGCTGCTGAATTTATTTTCTTTTAATTTTTTATTGTAGTATAGAATACGTCTTATTTACATCAAAATTAATTTCTAAAAAAATCAAAATTTGATATATGATTCTTGAAATAATATAGCGAATATACGAAAAGATACTTAAAACTTTAAACAGAAAAGCATTTATGAATTTTTTAAAGTGAAACTCTTATAAGATTACTCGTAATAGCATCTTATAATCATATTCTCGTAGAATATGAAAAATATAGAATAATATCAATTGCATAATATAAATTTTTCTTTACAAAATATTTAAATACGTGGTTACTATTTGTAATACTGAAACTTGTGTTTAAAATAAATATATTTTACGCTTTTGAATCCAATTGAATTATATTAAATAAAACTTTGAATAGGAAATATATCGGGTTTTTTTTGAAGAAAATTCTCAAATTTGCAATAAA